CATTTGATCCAAAGCCTCCTCTGTGTCTTTATTACTCAATGGGCTCAGGCGAACACAAGCGCACAAGCGGCTGAAATGAAATGTTTTACGTGTAGTCAAAGCGGTCACATTTCACGCAACTGTCCTGTTAAAGTCTATAATGCAATTGCATTAAAAAAATTCGGATAAATGACATTGAAGTTGACTGTCTCGATGATACAGGGTCAGATGTGACCATAAACAAAGAGAGTGTTGTGAAAAACATAAGAAACGTGGAACTTTTTAAGAGCACATCTATTCTGCGCGGTATTGGCCATATTACAAGTAATGCAGAGATTGTGGTCGACAAGTTGCAAACGAACCAGAAGTTTTTAGTCGTCCCCAGTGCTTAGATCGATTACGATGCTCTGTTGGGGCATAATTTTATCAAAAAGTTTCGTTTGGCCGCCGATATGCAGGGACACACATTTTTAAGCTACCAAACAAAAGCCTGGAATCAAATTATGTAGATCTCAAAAATTGTTCGTCACAGAGCAGAAATTATTTATTATGGAATAAAATTTTAATTATATAGGGACGATTTTGCCATTAAGCCAAATTGACGCTGCCAATTTCACCAATCGCTACGTTTGGTGACTTTGAGGAATTTTAAGAATGTCTAATCGAAGATTTTGGTAAAAAAAAAACTTTTAATAAATTCATTTAATTATTCGATTGTTAACCTTACTTAAGATCACTGGGGATTTTCTCGGGTTTCTCTATTCCAAGCAACAAATGTAAATTAAAAATCTTGAGCATCAGTTACTGTCTTGGGACTAATGTCGCACTGTTTGAAGGGTCGCTTTTATCAGTGTACTTCCTGCCGAGTCTGTTGCTATGCGCTGCCTACGTGCACCCATCTTCCTTATCGATTCTTGTCTTCTGTGAAATAGACTATCTTGTAAATTCAAAACCATTCAATATACGCTGTGTAATTTAACCTTCTTATTTTGATTTTGAATTCGTGTTGTAGGGATCCAAGGTTCAGTCGCTATATCGTTTCATATGTAGGCTTGTCCCCGATGTCACCATGAGTGCCTCTGCAAGCAGTGGTTTTCATGCGTGAGCTGACGCAAGACTTTATAGATGCTAGACTTCAGAGCAAGGCCGGACTCTAAACAGGAGTTATCTCACCGACTTAACGATTAACATTAACCCCAACATCCATTTTGGCAGGGTTCAATCTGGGGTGTAACAATGCTTTAGTCATCAGCGGTCGGTTCTTTTTTATTGTCTTACTGAAAAAATAGACAATAGACATAGCTACAAGCTCTTACAAGCTTTATGTGGAGACGGTGAGTTGTTTGGAGTATGAATAGGCATAACACCCGAACGCATAATATTAATAATAATAGTCAGCAAATTTTTTTATTAAATTAAGTATAAGAAGTGTTCTTTCGTCCGATGCCTGCTTTGTTATATACCCAATAATTATTAGAAAATGCAATCAATTATACGCCCATATTGAAGAGAAAGAAATGTCCGTGTTGAGTTCCTAATGTTTTTAGCAACTGTTTTGAAAATTTAGCCAAGAAATAAAGTCAATTTTGGCTTTTCACAACAACACGTTATAATTCAGTTATATTTATCTAAAGTTCTTCGCTTCGCCTCGATCAACAACGAACAAGTGACGAGATAAAAGAGAATATGCAATTTATAGCAGCTGCGACAAGTGCAAGAGAAGCTTGCCAACCTTGTTTACAACAAACAGCTGTTTCATTAAACTAAGATTACGACCTACATGAATGTTGCTTATTCTAAAGTGATGCGACTGCTGCAGAATCCAGTTCCGTAACACATTTACCTAAACTTATAATAATATGAAAGGGTATGAACAGGCAAACCCAGAATAATATAAGACGCAGAGTGTTTTGGAAGAAAACTTAGACCAATACACCAGACAAGTGGACGTAAAAGACAAGAACAATATCAACTACTTCAAATATTCCTTGAATTTGTAGAATGAACAACTCCTAATTACCACACTGTCAGTGGAAAATGGGTACCAGACAGATTCTTAAAATACTTATTTTTATTTAATCATCCCATAAGAATATGTAAGGTCGGTCCGATCAGGGGCCACCCAAATGAAAATTTATAAAGGGACCCAATATGGCTAGAATGAGGGTGCCGTTCAAGTTGACTTAAGCCAACCTGAAAATGATATGTAGGAAAAAAAATCCGTATCCGATTTCGTTGTCTTTAAAGGAGAATTTTCCAAATTCCAGTCACTTGTTTATTTTCGACTGTTTAGTTTAACAAAGACCACATACATAACAAGGTGTGTCCATCGACAAAACAATCAAAAATATGTAATGCTCGTGGAAATTTATCTGACCTAAAACATGTATAACATTAATAACAATATTGCGCTTATAATGGAAAGAAATACAAAACATTGACAAAAATCTAGATAATTCAACAGTCGAATCATATTGTATTTTTTTTTTTTGTATTAGCCTCTTTTAGTTGTGCGAGTGTATAATGTCTATTTAATATAT